TCAGCAACTTCCTGGCTATTGAAGAGCAAGATGGAAAGGGGATGGGAAGCATACCTCCCAGTGACTTGTCCCATACGGTTTTGGAACTGGTGGTAGAAGAGATGCTAGTAGTGAGCTTAATTCAAGAATCCTTTTGGCTTTGATGTCGAACCTGCTGAGTATGGGCACGGGCCTGCTGATAAACAATGCAGTTAGAAAGAGAGGGATACAGTCAGAAGGTATCCCAGGCCCGTTTTTGAGCCTTCCATGCCTCTTGGCAGGCAGGACTCCACCATGGACAAGGATACTGTGGAAAACATACCGAGGTCTTAGGAATAAAATGAGCAGCTGCTTGGACGATACAGTCAGTCACTGCAACCACACAATCATCTATTGATGGCAGACAGACAAAGGCAGGATCAAGTTTGGAGAGAGAGAGGTGAAAGACAGCCAGTCACCCTGGTCTAACTTCCACTGTGGCACTCGGTTGGCATAGACCACGGCTAACCTCCCTCATAATGATAGGAAAATGATCACTTCCCTGTGGTTCACTCTCGACCATCCAAGAAAAGTGAGTGAAAAGTGAAGGAAACATCGGAGAGTACCAGTGTTGGGCATTCTAAACGGGAGTTGTGGACATTGTGTCTGATGCTGGTATTTGGGTGTAGTGCTCAAGAAACCCTGGCATTGCTGCAGTGTCCTTGTTTGACCAGCCGGTTGAATTTGGGAGTCCACCCCAAGGCCATCCGTCTACAGGAATTCCAGGCCAAAGTGGTGTGTTGCAGTGCCCCAGACACCACTCAACCACTAGGATCCTCTCCTCCCCTTCACGGGTTGCCATGCACGGCAAACATGTGAGTGGATGTATAGATCCTAGAGGAAGTAACTAAAAATACAGAACCTTTCCTGGGAGGTCCCCTCACCACATACAGGAATCCACCTCAAGGGGTTTAAAAAAGAAATGTGCCAAAATGAAAACTGATAACATTCTTTATGTATGCATAACAGGAAACATAAAAGATAGATTAAATAAAAAAGTCTACATTGAATTTTTTATGTTTTTCTTTGGTTATACATAAATTTACCCATACAATTATGTATTAAGCTAATTAGAAACACATATTGTTTTTCTGTTTATTTTTATATTTAAAAATAAAATTGTTTATTATAATGTCTAACTTTATACATGTATTTAATTGTGTATTATCATATGTGATATTTTTGAAAATAAAATGTTTCTTTGACATTTTTGTATGTCTCTTTCATCACAATTAATTTAGATAAAATTGAATTGCTTAGTAAAACTAATACTAGTTAATTCTGTATTATTAAATTCTAATGAACGATCACCTTATATGATTTTTGTCTTAAACAATATGTGATAACTATTCCTAAAAATTATAATGGCCAATTTAAAATGCTCTCCAAGAATGTTTGGAATTAACACAAAATTTTAGGAGATTTCTATATAGCACTGATTATGCATACTTTATTTTCTCTGATATTACCTTATCATTAGAAACTGGTGATCCAATGACTCAGAAAACTCACTAAGCCCAACAAAAATACAGTTCTATATGATATATATGGAAACACACATTTGAAAATCTTAAACTTGCAGGATATATCTAGTGGTAATCTTTTACTAAGAGTGTTTCAAGTCTAGTGAATCTGTCCTCTGTATCTTGTAGGATTTTTCAGTTTGTCCTATAAGACTGAGTTTAAACCTATTTTGTTTCCTAGTGGATTTCAGTTTGTTCTATAGGACTGAACTTAACCTTGTCTGTATCATATAGGACTTCAGCTTGTTCTATGAGACTGTCTATAAACCTACTTTGTATCTAATAGGATGTAAGTTTGTCCTACAGGACTAATGGTCTTACAACTAAGGGATATAGTGATGTCCTTTAAATTTCCTATATAATCCTACTGAATCCTTTAGGATGTCTTATACAATTTTATAGGACTCCTATAGGACATATTTGTAAGGGTTAGCAATTTTCTTTTTTTATATTTACTTTCAAATTAAGAAAATAATTAATATATAATACTAAAATTTGAGTTATAATCTACATTTTGATGCCATATTTATTGACATACATTCAGAAAATAGTAGTTCAATAAAATTTTGAATGTAAGTCTACAAACATAATGACATGCCCTCTGACCCCTACCTGTAGTAAAACCCATCTCAATAGGGTTAATAATACTTATAGAAGTGGATATTCCATTGAAACTATGTCACCTCAATGAAATTGGTTGACACGATTATTTTGGTTTTTGAATTATCATGTAATAAAAAAGAAGTAGAAGAAAGAAGAACAACAAATTCAAACTTTTTGTTATGATAGTTACAGACATTCCCAGAACTGGTGACTCAGTCATTACATAGATATTGTTATAAAAGGAAACACTATATAGTGTTGTAAAGTTCTGATAACCTAATGAGAAGATATTTAAGATACCATTTCAATGAACAATCCGAGACATCCCTAAATAGGCAGTGTTACCGCCTGCCTGATAAATAATATAGTATTAAATATCAAAGAGAACTGTTGGCAATTTGTGAAAGAGAGGATGTGATAGGTGGGCATGGCAAGAGGAGTCTGATTTTCTAATTTATGGCTCTGTTACCAAATAAGATAGAAGGCTATAAAAATTATGATTTATCTGAGTAATAACAATATTATAATAAGTAATTTATGTTAAATTCCATACTTCTTGGAAGGGTGCTAAATAAATTGGAGAATAAGGAAGACCTAGAGAGCAAATGTCACAATTTTCATATTAAGGGAGATTGAAGATTTTTAAAAATATTTTTTTATAAAATAAAAAACATAAAACTTATATATTATTAAAATGTGATTTATTAGCTATGCTTTGATGCCAAGTTTATTCGTATAGATTGATAATAAAGTAGTTAGTTTCATTAAATCTTGAATGTATATCTGTAAAAGGTAGTGACATGCACACTTTGACCTACCTGATGCAAAAGGGTTAATAAGGTTGACCCTTTTAAAGTCACACTGTAATGAAAAATAATTTAAAAAAACATGTATGAACACTTACTTTCTATGTAACTTGATTAAAACTTTGCATGAGATCATAATTACTCACACCACAAAACTCTCAAGTTTTTGCCTGAAGAAACACAATCTACTTGTTCAAGTATTTTAAATATCTGTATCTGTTTATATATATTTGTTTACAAACACTTACTTTGTCTAAACACCTCTGACAAAATGCAGTACTCTCAAGTCCATCTCCAAACTGACCAAAACATTCTTTACATTCATATTCAGCAACTTGGCCACAAATGATACACTGTCGAGGAGCTGTAAGAAAAAAAAATCTTAATAAAACTAGCTTTGTCTCTATCCATCAAAAGTTTCAGTTTGCATAGAGATAAAGAATTCCAGACTTACAATCTGCTAGCACATCAGAGATGTTAAGATACTGACTGGGGATAATCCGTGGGTACATCTTGAACTGCTTCCCAAATCTTGGCATTTGTATCAACAAACTTGGAGGAACCTGAATAAAAAACGTTTTTGTTACTTTCTTAAAATTACATATTAGTTTTTTTATAAGTAAAAAAATCCATATAATAATTTGGCAAAATAAACTGGATGCTAGAATCTCTTTATGGTTAAAAAATATATAAAAAAAATTGTATTTATTTACTTTTTCTAAAGCTCTAATAAAAGTTTCCATTCTTTTTTATTGTTAACTAACATTGAGAATCCCCAAAATATTCTCAATCATTAAGCAATGTGAATTATTCTTGTAAACTCCTTAATCTTGCTATTTTAAGCTTTTGTCTTTTGATTAGTCAATTCATGCATCAAATTAATATTTTCATTTTGTCTAGATTCTTTTTTGTCAGCTATGTTCCTTCAGTTCATTGCTAAAAGAACAATTTAACTCTCAATATCATTTAAAGGTGTGGGCTTATGGTCGAGAGAAAATATTTTTCAGTTTAAGCATCACTTAAAAAGTTGTGAGGTAGTATTTCATGCCATTTAATTATTTTTACATAGTCACTGACTGTTATTCCTATATAAAATATAAAAAAATATATAAATAGTTAACCACATGGGTGACACTGGCAAAGAAATAAATTAATAGGTTACAAATCATAAAGAATATTTTGTATGATCTACAGAAAATAATATACTAAAACAATGTTCTCTGTCAGGTCATAAAGCTTAGAACAAAAGTGAATGTAAATATAAGATTTATAAACTGCATAAGCAGAATTTTGAAAGCTTATTTACAAATTTTTGTGGAAACTACATCTTTTAAACATTATACAAATCATAAATAAAAGAAAAAACACGTATTGTATTCAAAAATTCTAGGAATAAAGAAAATTATAACAAAATACAAATCAAATATAAGATTGAAAAAATATGAAAAAAGTGAAAATCTACAAGTTTAAGCTTTACATCTTTTGTTACCTTAAATTATTTTCTTCTAGAAATACATATATAACTTTTTTCTGATTAGTAACACATTCGTTTCCGTTAGTTACACAAGTTAGCCCAAACACTTCCGTATCAGACCACTGACGAAATCCTAGATTTATTTCATGTAGCTTATAGCCCCATAGGAGGAAAGTCAAAACGGTGCAAATTTGAACCTTGTACCTACGATATATGTGTACTTTTATTGATTTAAGACAGTCACAGTTTCTTAACCTCAGCTGTCATGATGTGATATAATTGTATATTTCATAGCTTTAACTCTTTCCAGATGGGTCATGGGTGAAAGGCCATGTCATCGCATTTGTTGACTCGCATTCAAAATTTTGTTGAACTACTATTTCATGAATTTATGTCAATAAGTTTGGTATCAAACTGTAGATTATAATTCAAATTTTAGTATTATACCTTACTCAGTTTCTTAAAGTAAATATAAATATAAAAATTTCTTAAAAGGAAATTAAAAAAAACACAGTTAAATATCGCTTTTTATGTGTCATGTGGTATGTTGAATGTGGCACAGGTTCAAAATAGATGTTTGTGATGTCAAAATACTAAGTCTCGTATGAATTAGGAACTCAGACTACCGATATTGACAAGCTAGAATATATAATAAGAGTCTCTTATCTTTTCAATTTGCTAAAATATTGCTTATGTAATAAATCAAACACAGTGACACCACACCCACCTCTTTCCATTTTTGGAAATGCTCCATATATACTTCTATATATGACATGAATAACAAATCGGAAGCTCAGAATGTTCCCCAAATGGCTTTCTCAGCCATTTTAATGTGTGTGAATGCCATCTATTTCTTTGAATCAAGATTTCAAGGATGTAGGTTGTGTCTTTAGTCTGCTCAAAATTTCATATTTTTTTCAACTGAAATATAGCTTAGTTACTAAGCTTGATAAATTATAGTAGAATTTTATGGTATTGATATAGTAATTTATGGTTATTTAACTGTATATATAAAACAAAAAAAATATTTTGTTTCATATCCTCCACGTGCAAAATTTTAATAGGCTTGGCCACCTACGTCAAGCAGTAACCAAATACAAAGGTCATAACTAGAAGATATAATTGTTTGCTTTGCTTCTTTATTTACTGTTCTATGTTTTAAGAAAAATAAGTTTAATAACTTATTTCT